AATTGACTGATCGCTGAAATACTACCTCAAACACATGAACGTTTCTTTATCGAATTTGGGCACAGTTGTCTCTTTGCTCAGCTATAGGCTGCAAGACGCTGTGCCGTGGTGTCGCGCTATGATGAAACGCAGTACGTCTTACGAAAAGATCGTTATGTGAACTGCTCTTTAATGTTTAGAAGCTTAGCGATTGTTGAGCAAGGAGTAGAAAGAGCGTCAACTGCAACTACGTTTGGCGCACAAAATGAAAAAGGAAAAGCCTATGAGTAATTGGACATTTCTATACGACATTACTGGTGGACGACGGCAGCTTATGAAAACGATTGCAGTGCGTCATGCAACAAGTACCCTTTTGTAGCTCGTTCCTATTCATCTCGTGTCTTGTCAGTGGTCCCTCAATGAACTATATAGCCGATTCGCTGGCCTCCAGCAAACGGGGATGAATCCGTTGTACGACTTAGCAGCTCATCGTTAAGAAGCCCTGTGCGTCACCGTTTCAATCACCGGCAGCGTTAGCGACCGTTGCTTCGTCCGTTAGCTAGTCAGCCCTTGGTGGTTCTGATAGCTCCGCTGCCCTGTCGGGGTCAACGGTTTTTCAGCTGCCGTTGTTATTGTTCCCGTTGAGCTGTCGGTGCCATTCGGTCGGTGCGTCACCGATGTCGTCGGCGTCGCCGCCGAACTTTGGGGACACCGTCCTTTTCCCAGATAGAGACGTTCGTTGTGAAGTAAGTGCACACACACACGAACATGGACAAACAAACTTCGTCGGCGGTCCGGCAGCACCATATATAATGAGGGCCATAGGATGCATGCCCCTCAGCTCCCACGCAGACCCAGTCAGCACAGGTGACCCCATAACAAGCACGAGGACCCATGCTTGGGGATAAAACTCGGGTTAGAAAAGGGAAAAACGCACGACACACGTTCTGGCTGTGCCATGTTGCCTACACATCCATCATTTACTATGCATTTGCCCATGTTGTTTGTAATACGGGTTTGCACTCGTCGTTACCTTGGTCTAAGCTACGCACGGTAGAAGTAGCATATATCTGTAGCAGTAAATCAACGAATGAACAAATAAACCAATCTCGAGACGGATAGATTAATGTCGGAAAAAAGCTTTGTGACAGCAGACGCAGTTCGCCTTTAGCATGTAAACGTCGATTGACGTTGAACGAAATTGGAACCTCGCTAAATCGTCGAAGATGTCGTGTCGGGCTATGCTCAACTTATTCCGTCTTTATCTCAACTACAGAAGAACCGCTGTAACAAATTTAGCTAGAATATAGAGCAAAGAAGACGTCAGTGCTGAATGGGAAGTTTTCCTGTCTCTAGATCTTCGTTTTGATGCGCGTTTTTGTCGTTATTTTTGCTGTAGCAGATCGATACTGGTGACCTGCGAATTGTGGTCCTGCACCAAGTTATTTTTAGGCTCAACATTTTTGTTAACAGCCAATAGCTGTGACTATGTGCAAAACAGGACTTATGCGACGCCGAGATTAAACCAAGGTGATTGTCGGCTTGGCTATATATTTCTATTAAAATTAGCCCGTCGATATATACTAAGAACCAGAACTAACCAGGGTTCACAAGAAAGCATTGTGTTACCAGAGTTCCTTCAAGCTTCGATGGGTGCTAGGTGCGGATAGCCTACACGGAAAATCCTAGTGTATAACTATGATTTGCGAGACACCACGTAACTAAGTGAGTTTACAGGGGGTCGCGTCTCTCTCTCTCTCTCGAATTCAGTAAACGCATTTCACTGTTCGACTATTATTCCTTTCTTTAACCTTAAGATTATAGTATACGATTTTCACTAAAGTTGAATCACAGCAATTTAAGGAACGATGAAGATTAGCAGTTCAATTTGTCTTGGACTCTTAAAAGGAAGCAATGGAACATCGATTTTTAGAAAGCCTTCATACATTCGTGTATCAATGGGTGCGGGTATATTACAAACAACTGGTAACTTAGAATGTTTAGCTTGGAACTTCGTGCTTTAATCGATATATATTAAACTATTACAAGCGAATTCAGATAACTTTAAAATTGAAAAGTTTTGAATTACGCACCACTAGCAGAAAAACAAATTAGCTGATGGGTAAGCTGGTAAATCTTTTGGTAACTTGTAAAAAAAAACCTGAATTTACCCTAGAGTAAAGAACTTAAAAGGAAGATACTTTTTATCTCAGAGGTTAACGTTAAGTAGTCACGTTTTTGTTCCTTAAGGACAGATCGCTGCGGAAATTTATCGAAGGTTAGTAAAGACCTTAGATAAGGAGGCCTAAAGTGAAACCATAGTACGTGAATGGCGTAAGTGTTTCAGGAACGAAAACTGAGCCGTTGAAGAGCAGTGAGGAGATAACCAGATGTTAAACGTAATAAAAAGGTAGACAAGGACTAACGGACAAGAACCTACTGCCACAATCGAAGAGGCTTTTCAAGCATGAAAGCAGAGCTCGGATTCTAAGGGCTCTATTGGCCAAAACTAGCATTTCATATCTAACGTGTTACAAAATTATTCTCCAAAAACAGAAAATGTAAAAATTGAGTATTAAGGGCTTTCCGTAAATCGACTCCAGGCCAACTCGGAGTGGGTGTAATGGTTTTGTGTGGAATTTGCAGAACCTGAGTAAACGAAGGTCCGCTTGGAACATACGGTCACCATACACGTACATACATTGTTCAGTCTCTACCGCCAGCCGGAAGGGGATCAAGTAAGCAAATGACGTTACCCTAGAGAAAAATCGGATTTGGTGGCAGCGTTAGTAGTATTTACAATGGACAGGAGAAACATCTGCTGCTTTGAAATGCTCGCCAAACATGAAACAGTAAATGCACTTTGCTAACTCGACTACCTCAAGTGACTCACGGAGCGTTGGCATAGGAACGGAAGCATGCAGTCTGATCGCGGGGTGGCAACGTTGAACTATATTGTCATGTGTCAGTTACTTTCTGAATTGAGCAAAGGTACATCCAACGTTGGCTTGAACCCCGTTGTTTTTGCAATGAAAATCCAAGTGATCACTAGGCCTTTTATGCCTTAAAAAGGGAAATTGGTGGGCAAGCATATTTCATTATCAATTTATTTTGAGAGACCATAGATAGAGACATTACATATGGAAATGCGAACGGTTCGTATATGACTATCTAAAAGCTGCCAGAGCATTGTAGCAAATATCTGCTTCTCTAAAGATGTCCGCTTAGAGACTTCACGCAGATTGCCACACGAGGGTGGTTCTGCCGGAACTGATCTGAAACAAGAGCAGTATTCCTTTTGTACACAGCCTCGTTTCATATCTACATTGAGTGCGTAACACTTCTGTAGACACGACCAGCGCTACTTAAATTGCTTTATAATAATGATGCAACTGCTTCTTATTTGTACATATAAGATGCATGCCACGTGCTGATTGCATAGCGAATCGTCCTTTGAAATACGCACAAAACCGCCATGCTTTTCGATTTCATTCAAGACGCAGCAGCAGTGGCAGGATGGCGAAAAATTGACGGCGTTAAAGCATGAAAGACGACGACGACTACGGAAAAGAGAACTGAACCATTGAGTTTGCCCTATGATCTGTGTGAAAAGCGTTCCACTAGTTTATACATCGATGCTAAACACACTGCATTTGAGTACCCCATTGACAATATGTCGACACAGCCGAGCTGCCCGTTCCGACCCCATGGAATCCTGGCGGGACGTATACTAGTGGTGGCATTAGCTCTCAATATGACGATGCCACAAAAGCTCGTTGCATTTCGATATTCTCAAGGAAGACGATAGCCCTTCGAAGGACAGATGACCAGTTTTGATAAGATGACGGCCCAGCTCCACTGTCATCCAATCACTGTCGCTCACTGCTAACCGACTGCTCGATGTAGACAAAACTGCAGAAAGCAGTCTTTTATTCAACTAGTCTCATATGGTGCCGTTTGGATAGCAGTGCGCCGTCTGGTGATAAAGAGCAGATATCCGAAAGGTAGACAAACTTCAACTTTCTACTACTACAACTGTTCACCTTATTCAATTTACATTACTATACGGCGGAATCCGCATAAGCAATCGCTCTTTGATTTGGACTTCTTCTTCTCCTCCCTGTACGGCTGTGCAACTTCGTCGGTGCTCCGATCCCTTGTATGAATATGTGCTACGGCCCTTTCACTCCTCTCCCTCGAAATGAACTAAATGGGCCGATAGTACGTAATTGTAGTAGTACTCGTCGTTATCGTTCGGTGTGCCGGTTCGCCCTTCTCTCTTCGTCCTTATATCGTCTTCAGTACCCTTCTTATCTCATGGTACTTCTCTTATTGACCGAAACTGGCCTAACGCCGGTGAGACTTCTTCTGCTGGTTAAATAAGTTCTGTTAGACGGCTATCCGCAGCGGTTCTACTTTTTACACCGAACTGAACGAAGGGATGCAACAGAAGGAACCATAATAAAGCAAGAGAGGCGTTTTGGCCGGCCTTTCTCGTCATTGTCGTCATCGTTTTCTCTTTTCTGCCCCTTCTGCTAGTGTCTGTTTAAGGTGGTCAGCGAGTTGCAGCCGATCTGTAAACCGGTAGCACGAGAGCAGCAGCGGTCTGAATTAACCCTCAAATTCCTCAGGGGCTTTCTTTGAGTTTTCTTCCCGGCTCGACCCAGAGGCGCTCCTCGGTCAGGACTAACCCATCGCCCTCAAAAAGGGTACAACGGCTTGGGCCAGAAATCGATACAGAAAACGACCTGCAGAAAGTATAACCGGACATATATAACCGGAACCCTTGGATGTATACGGTTACAATATTTTTTTCTTCCTATTAATTTAAAGATATTTTGTGGGCCTCGGTATAGTCAATAGAAACGATGCAAATTAACTGAGAATTACTTTTTCTATTTTAAAATTCTACCTATAGCTTAACGTTTTTTTTTTTTGTAGGAGATTCTTTGGCAATGATTATATTGCTATTTTATACAAATATGAACATAGAGAGAAAAACACGGGATTACACGACCCACCCCATGCCCTTAATAGTCGGCGGCAAAAGCTGTTCGGCGATGCCCCCGCCACCCTCAAATCAAACGAAAAGTTTTGGTGGCGGTGACGCTATTGGAAGTAGAAAGACGATCGACGAGTACGCTATGGCATCAACAGCAGACAAAATTAATCTGTGAGGAGATTAAGCGATAGGTAATAATAGACTTCAACAAAAAGGCCTTGTCGCTTACCTGAAATCAGAAAACGAACATAATATAGCTTAGTAAAGGAAATCGATAGTGGATTATAATAATGTTTCACATATTATTAGATAAGGAACTAGTTTTTTTATCCTAGTCTGTAGTGAAATGTCGCGCTAGACATTCGAGTTAAATATCTGAATATACACGAGATCAACGTAGGACAAAAACCTCATTGAAACCAAATACTACCACGGGTAGTATTAGTATTGTCAATTTATATAATATAGCTGTCTTATTATGATATTGTGACATATCTCAGTTATCATTCTCCAATCGCTTAATAAATCAGTGTATAATATCGTTGTCCTCTTTTTCTCTCTATATATACAATTTGTAAATTTTCTTTCTCGCAAGAATTGTGCTGTTCTTTGCCAATTGATGCTCATTCGCTCGCTTGACTTTTCTGCAATTTACAGGACAATCACGTACATATTATATATTTATTCCCGTATGCTCGTACTGGCATATTTGTATAGAGTTAGTACGGCTGTTTCAGACTTTATTACATGATTTGTCCGCTCTTCCACCCATTGCTCCGCCTGCCTTTCGATCTGGTTGCGGTACGTCTGTTCCTCCGCTTGACCTTATTTTCAGCCGTTATACTCCCGTGTGCCTTATCCCGCATCGCGCACCGGTCTTCTTTCAATCGCCTTCATGTCTTAACCACACCTTAACTTGTGGCGAACAACGTTCGAAAGTATTTCCACGCGAGTTCACAACAGACATCCAAACCGCTTCTGTGCTGCAGCTGTTGCTGCTTCTGCTACTCCCCCGTTTCTCTTTTCTCTTTTTCTCGTTCTTTGCCTGAGCTGCTTGTTTCGTTCCCCTCTGTTGTTCGTTCCATCTTTATGCGCATGATATAAACATATGCACCCATTACAGATATACGGGTACTTGTACGGCGCGTTCCTATCTGTTGGTTCGATTGCGTCTGTCGTATCTTCCAGGATCGTGTTTATTTCTTCCCACTCTGCTGCCTCAGTGCGCGTCAATTCCTCGGACTCTCCTGCTGTTAACATTACTTACGGTTATCGTTCTTTTTCTGTCGCTTATCGCTGACATTGATACTGTTGCTATTGGTGACATGATCGGTTGCAGGCACGCTGTTTTGCTGTCTGTCTGATAGTCACTCCCACTAGCCCGTAGTCATCATCGTCGTCGTATCATCAACATCATCCACAGCAACAGCAGCAGGGTCGAAGGATTTTTTTCTTCCGTGTTCGGTACCACTTCATTCTCCATTTTTCTCCTGCTTCTTTGACGCCATCATGGAAACATCGTACCGCCTGGCTAGCAAGGGTCAGCCAGCCAGCTGCTCGGTCTGTCGATCTGCGCAAAAATGACTGCAAGCTACGCGAGTCAGGGGGGCGGCGTGCACTTCGCTCAGCAGCGCCAACACTAACATCGTCCCCTGCAACTGCCTGCCAGCACGGCAGTTGTACTAGATAGAATGTATGTAATCTCACCATAACGCGATAGTGCCAGGACCCTATCGAGCAGAACTAGCATGTTCACTTGTAGCGGCGTGCTAAGCTAGGCCAATGCGTCGGCGGCAGCAACAAAAATCGTGATGGTGGTGGGGCCACCAACGTCTGTGCATGACGCCGGAAAAACGAGCACTGGAAGAAAGCTCGGGAGGCTCTTTCGAGGTTGTTGCCGTTCCTTTTGCTGGAGCTGCGAGCGACCCAGATGTGATATCGGTATAGACGACACTCTACCTTAACCCCTCACATTCTATTCCCTCCCCTTCTTTCATCTCCCCTCCGGTCTCTCTCTTCATATGTCTTCGTGTTCGTTGGTGACTGTTGCTATTGTCTCCTCGTTGTTGGGATGGCGTTATCTGTCGTATGTTTAGTCGTCTGCTTCATATGTGCTGCTGCTGCCGCCTGGGCCCCCCACCCGGGCTCTGCTGGCCAAACCGGCCCATTGTCGCACGGCGAGAGCCCTCGCTGGAGATGGCGTCCTTTTTATGTATGGCTGAATTAGAGACGAAAAGACCAAATGTGAGCAAAACATTGCTAACATACACCAGGAAATTAAGTGGATTCATAATACCTACAAAAGCCGAAATGTCGCCATTTAGGTATAGTGCTTCAGCACTATTCTGGTGTTGTTAAGCATTTTTTGTAAACGACAAACTATCTATAGCTGCCGACAATGCATGTTACGTGCAGTAATAGTATGACAGTGCATAGATATAAAATAAGGCAAATGTTGAAAAAAAAAGACTCATCCGAAAGACTTGGGCATTTTACGGAAAACTCACTATATTCGACCCTTAACACAGAGGATTCGTTTTAATGAATTTACAATACGAAAACTCACTAAATGAAATGTAAACCACCGCGTAGACAAATGGCAGTGAGAAAGAAATGCAGCTCAAAAAAATAACTACGCTCAATTATTCTCTCGGGATCTGTAGTGTTGAGTAAGATCCCATCTTAAAGGCGTCACAGAGAACACGTCCAACATTTCAGCTTATGCTTGTTGGTTCATCACTAGACAAAATTCTTCGAACAGACTTGTCATACCCGTTACCATAGGTCGCCAGATTCTTGCAAGCCCAATCCTGCTTCCTACGTGTCGTGTCCGTACACGCATCCACTGTCCCAAACGAATCATGCCGTATAATGTACTTATAACAGTAGCAGTTCTCGTAGTCTTCAGTATATCGAGTAGAAAAAGCTTTCTGTTGTCGTAAACCGCCGCTTGGCAAACGTTTTCTGATATCTAAGTCGCAACATCGTGAATGACAGAAGGGCCACCCACGTCAGATTTAATGCTTCAATAGTCCAACGGTTTTAAGCACCGGGTATTTGCCACAAGCAACAATCGTACAGAAGATTCACAAAAACGTCACCATAATTGGTTATCATAATGATCAAATACGAAATCGACAGCTGCGACTATCCTCGCTGACGTTAAATGACGAAACGGCAACGAAGAAAATCTTTTTGTCGACGATTCTTTCTTCACTGTTATCATTCTTATTGCGTTTGGAAATAAAAGCCACCATTTTGAACGATGGCTTGTTTTCTGCGGTACTTTATAAATGCTTTCTCACAACATCGTCTATCGAGTCGCGTAACTGATAATCAAATCTAGCCTAAGTTAACAAGATTACCCTATTCATCCTCGTCCGCGTTCTAGTTATGGCAACAAAATGTGCATTGCTACTTTATGATCGAACACCTAATCCGCGATAAATTCAATAATCTTTTGAATTAATCGCTGCACGATTATTTCTTGATGGTGCATACATTAAAATAAGTATATACTAACGGTGACGTTGGCTTCGGCTCCCGTTCATTATTTTATACGGCAGAAAAGGAAACGAGCTTGGCTGTGTTGTGATCGACACTAAGCAATTCAACTGCTTCAAACGTTGTGGGGCTTGACGCACACATGCGGGCAACTGACATCTATACCAGATTTCTACCTGGCAACCCAGCACAAAAATACTCAGGCTAAAGGTAGCCACCTAGCACCACTCAGAATGGCTAGCAGCGACAACGCCGTGTCAAGGGAAGCTTCTCACGAACTTCGTGACCAGGCATAGTCCGATGCTGCTAGCGAGGCAGATCACGGCGACGGCGTGACCTCATCAGCGTGTGCCTCTTTCCCTGTTTCCCTAGCCCTTGCCTGGCCCAGAGAAAAAACATCCACAAACGTAACTGCATTGCCATTAAAACCACAAAAACAACTGCGTTCTACGTATTATCTAATCTATCAGAGAAGAAGTATTAAATCCGCTAACACGTCGTCGCGCTTACTCACTGCCCTAACACAAACACGCGTCCCTCCGAACATTCTGTTTCAGTGATCGCAGTTTTGTAGACAACGGCGTCACCTCGTCAGTTACGAGCTGTTGTAATATTCAAGCATCTAATAGTACGAGATTATCCGTAGTTTAACCATTGCCTGCACTTAGTATGACAGAGTACATGGGTTTGAACCTGATCTTTTAAGCACACATACGAGTGTAGATTGATATAGTTGGTTGACAAGAACAAATGCAAGCAAACGCAAGAAACGTGGAACAAAATGGGTAGAAGGTCCTTTCTAACTACCTATGTACAACTAAACGAATATATGTAATCTTCTTATAAATTACATGACGACGAATAATCACCATCTCTGACTATTCATGTTATTACATTGTATATAGTGGTGAGTGCTGTCTAGGCTAGACAGCCGGTTTTTGACTTTCCCGCCACTTCTGTCGACAGTGATCACGTCTTCATGCGTTTTGTGTCAACTTAATGGTCCGTCGTGTTCTTCATTCGACTGCGGCTAGCCCTCCTGTGCTGGTCACCGCCGCACGTTCACGTTAACGCTGCTGCAAACCTGTCTCGTTTTGTCTACCTCTCGTCGAATAGCCTCTATTCTAGCGGTTGACCACCCACAAAAACGGCCTCACAAAGAACGCCCACACATTTTAACTAAAACGTCTGGTGGCCATATATGTTCTCGTACACTACAGAGTCGGATCCATGGAAAGGGCACAGCCGGGATTCGTTGATTTTAGTACCCTCCTTAGTTTTCCCACGAATGCCAGCCTAATATTATTATTATTATTATCAAGGTAACTACTTATAAATAACCAGAAGAATAAAATACGAAATCGTTGTGCAGTTTGGACTGGTGAAAGAGACATACGGGGCGAAGTCTTTCAGAATAAATACATGCAAGGCCTGCATATATTTCTCTATACGCAAAGCGGTATATATATATATATATATATATATACATATATATATATATATATATATATATACAAGCAAAGCGGGTGTAACTCAAAAAAGGTAAACAATGTAAACATTATTTTCGAACAAGGGAAAGTTTTGCGGTAGCTGAGTTGCTCGCTACCTGAATGTTATCTAATTGAACTTGTATTTGACTTGAGGAGGGTAATTTTGCAAGGCGAAACCTAACTCATTATTCGATATTTATAGTCGTATATGAATGATGTCTCAGTGGGACGGTACTCATTTCCCGACTTTAGATGACGGATAAGAAACAGCAAAGAAATAGAAATCTTTTCTAATTTGAGCAGTCCCAGCTCTTGCTTTAGCTCAACGAGTTCTGGTTCGAAAGAGAAGGCTCAGTAAGCGCCCAAAGGGACGAGATAGGGAGAAAGAAGTGAACTACAGCCGGAGTCCAGATGCTTAGAAAAGCGACTTTCAACAGCTTCGTGGAAAGAAGCTCTATCAAAAAAACCTCATAAAAGCAGTAGATCGCGCAAGACGAACACCGTGCAAGAAGCTTTCGGATTTTATATATGCATCATATGAAGTTAGTCTGCGGAAATGTCGCAGTGAATCACCAAAAACAGCGAAAAAATCTTTAAAAAATATATATAAATATATATTCTTTATCTGACTAAACCAGAAAGATACTTAAGCACACCTCCACGTTGATAGCAAACAAGCTAAAGTTCAATTTAAACTAGAATAGGATTCTAGTCACGGGATAGATCACCTAGATTAAAGCAAATAGTTGTACTTATAGTAAAGTATTTTTGATCCATATTGTTCTTTAAAAAACTTTGGAATCTCGACCATTCGCCAGACGGGTGGGTAAAGAAGAGCATTGTATTTTCGGATATTCACATGTCTGTTTGAGATGTGGGTCTGTTCCTAATGCAACTACCCGAAATACCGAATGATATTGTAATCGTATCTTTCTCACATTATGTTTTTTCTATCTTTGTTTCGCTTGCGTTTGATAAATATCTGTCTTCTCCAGATTCTCAGAATATGCCCGAAAGCTCTACATGCTAGATTCCGTTTTTATTTTCACACATCGTTTATAGCTTTAAGGCCGTTTCTCTGCCCATCGGCACGTTCGAAATCTATTCCTTTGCCCGGCTCCTATGCCCGTTGCTATTGCTCAATTGCAGCAAGTGAGAGAGGAAGCTCGGGAGTCTTTAAGATGCCAATATCCTTTCGAACCTGCTATGCAATCATACAAGGAAAAAAAGAGATGCCTGTTGGACGGCCCAAAAGTGCGAGTTGATATAAGGCGAGGCCAACCCACAGCGATGCAGAGTGCGACCACGAGATAGCCAGTGTTCAGGCAGCACCACATCAGGCTACTGGTCGAGCAAGCTCTCAAATTTTTCTTTCCTCTCCTGTATTTCCTGCTTTATAGTTATCGTCGAACGTCGATGTAGAGGCACTACTACAATATGTCGAATGTCGCGTTTAGAACCTGCCGACCTAGGCAACACTACAAGTTGCCCCTTTCTTTTCTGTTTCGTCTATGAAATAGTAGTATGAACACTGGCATCACTGCTGAAGCCGGCCGACCTCGGCTACTGCGGCTGTGTCTAACAAGTGCGAGCCACTTCGATCGCCAAGCGACAGGCGTACCGGGTGACAGGGTACGATTGGTCTGTGTAGTCTGTGGCTTAGCTGCCGTAACTTCGCTTCCCTTCCCGGCGGGGCGTATCTCCGCCCGGTTTAGACCCCCCTCACGTTTGTTTTAGCCTAGTGTTGAGGCGAAGGCTTCGAACGACGAAGGCATGAGCCATCGTCACGGTCGCCATAGTCGCTGGCTGGTTGATCGCTTCGCTCAATAGCGACGGCGACGCCGGCAGGCACCCGACGCCATTACGGTCACCGGCGTCGCCACGAAGCAGAAAGAGTAAGAACTCGCTCTGCCAGTGCAGCTAAACCTGTCATTCGTCCTCTACTTGTTATGCTAGTTCAGGCTAACGCAGTAGAGACAAAAACGATACACCACGCTAGTAATC